TTCTTGTTTTTTAATACCTTAACGGCCAGTTCTTGCACTCATCCACATATAAAACAGTTGTACGCATCCATGGATTTTCTGTTTTTCATCTGCTGCCTTGAATAATACGATGTCTGTAGTACGAGGTAATTTACGATGTCTGGATATACTATGCCAGGAAAAAGTTTCGGATCAGCTGATAAATCTTTTTTCTTAAAACAGTATGGATCTAATCCATCACAGAGAACTATTTTCGATAAATATCTGGGCTTTGAAACACCATCCAGTGATTCAAAATACTCTGAAAGCGCAGGTTCACGGCGGTCCTCCATAACTACGAGTTGCTAAGGGTATTGCTTGTCTCCCAAGATGGCGGAAGCCACCGGCGAGGGCGCTTTTTGTCACGTGATTGCAAGCCAAGAATACCTGGGTTTATTCGATGTTAGAGGAATTCATGTTATGTGATGGAATGAATAGAAATGAGAAATAAATGCATTAACTCAATAATGAATTCAGGATGCTAATGAAGTTGTAAATGTGATTTACCTAATGAGTACATGGTTAATAGTTGTGTCAACGTGTCTTTCAGACCACTTATATAGCAAAAAATAAACCAACGGATGGACCAGTCAATCATCTGTTTGAAGACAGCAACACTGGAATAGTCAAAGATAATATTATTGTGTGTTATGTGTTCATATTTAGTAATAGTGTTAGTTTTAATTATGAGATGAACTGAATAAATCCCATGAACATTGACAAACACATGGCTGGTGCGTAATTTGTTTTGAAAATAATCAAAAAATCGGGAAAAGTACATTTCTGCGTATACAATACTCTTCCGTGCGCTGTGCATATTATAATATCCGCGCTTGATGGAATCATATCGTAGCGAGTGTCACTTAAGCTTGCATAATAGGATTTGAAGCCTATACTGCACGATAACCAATTTATCATATTACCGGGCCCGCTATTCTTTTTACAGCAAAATAGAAAATTTTATTGAAAATTTTGTTTTTGTTTCTATTTATAAATTCGTTCATCGGGTGACTTTTACCTATGAAAATGTTGTGCAATTGAAAGCATTTATACGACCTTTGATTTAACGTAATGATTCAATGTGGATACTTGTCGCCTTGGTTCGTTAGGGTCAGGGTCAGCAAAATCATCACTATTTAAACAAATTTCAAGATCATTGAATGGATATGTAGTCGAATTCTTGGGAGCACCACAAATTCACACGTCTTTATATGTGTTTCACTTAGAAGACGTTGCAGCACACCACTCATGCAAAGACATCCACACATAATATGCAATTCTAAATACATCAATAGTAAATGTGTTAGCAAGTAACCCGGTTTTTAACCAACGAAACTCGATTACTGTGAAACAAATTTAAATCAAGCATCTTGACCATGGACCTGCATGAGCCAACGGCAACAACTTCTATAAAGGTCAATCAAAAATAAATAAACTCGATGTGTATAAACACAAAACTAATTTTATTAGTACATAGTGGCTATTAAACCTTAGGTGGTTGTGGGAAGTATTTATTAGCATATTGGTGGTATACGTTGTGTTGATGTGTTTGTTTGAGTGACGGGCTGCGATACTTCATGTACTGAGATCAGCATCTGTCATTTCTTTTATTTCTGTGCAATTCACCATTGAGCATATTTAGGGTTATAATGTTGTCCGGGAATATTGTAACGTTCACAAGAAATATTGTGATGTTTACTGTGACATATTGTCCTTGATATCCTGTGTTTTTTTTTGCAATATGATAATTCCCGATATATTGTTATTGCGAATAGAGTACATAATCACATTTACTTGTGTTGTGGATAAAGAAAGTCAATGTGCGCGTCATCCCAAATGTAGAATCTTACTAATGATATGTAAAAAAAAAATGAAAGAAAAAAGTCCACCATCAAAATAGAGGACCAGAAATCACTTTAGCAGGTTGCACTGTTGTTCTCGGAGTCACTTTACTACTAAATCCTCTATGAACCGATGTGTAGAAAGTATTTGGTAAAGTAGACATTGGCGACTTTAGAATTTAATATCAGTTAAAAAGCCAAAACTGCATATGCTTTAACAAATATATATTTTAATCAAAGTTATAAACAACAAACCAACGCATCATTTTTCTCCACAATAAAATAACAGGGTTTGTTTTGTTAAATCCGGTCTAATCCTAAACCGGTAAATTTAGTGTGATTTATTAAGCATAAATAAAACTAAACAAAACATAAACTCACAAAGAAACAACTACATCATTACATTCAGTTCAACAAATTTTGCATTATATATCAGTCCAATCTGATTAAAATAAGATCCAAGTGTTGGTAATTGCGCAAGCCAACAAGAATC